ATTTTAGAGATTTTCTTGATTCAGATTTTTCAAAGGTAAGAATGCATCTTATTTAACTTATTTGTCAAACTACAATCCTTCTACTCTAAAGAAATATCCCTGAACTTATACATACTTGTTGTAAAGCAAAATAAGAAATGATAAAACACATCAAACATTTTCAAATATTTATGAAGATTTGTCTTTTTTTCTGAAAAGATATCACCTAAGAAACAAATTTTTCAGTTGAAAAAGACTTTTTTCATACATCATCTGTTAAGTTGAATCAACCAGTATTGATTATTATGGGCCAGGCTTGATAGTAGATGGGAATATAGTACGAAGAAAGCAAACAAGGGTCTTACATGATGTTTGAATCTTAGTAGGGGGACTTAATCCATACAAAGAGAATATTTACATTTCACAGGTAAAGGAGAAAGGGCCCTTGGAAGCTAATATCTTGCCTGAAAAATTTTAAGACTATGACACAGACCAGTTTAGGTCTTCTGCTCCCATATCCAGCTTTAACAAAGCTTTGATTGAATAGTTGATCACATGGTAGACAAAACTTAGAGTATAAATCCCACCTGTTTTTGTTGTTCTTTGTTTATTTTTACATAAACTTAAATATGTTCTAATTCCACTGTTCTATAACTTTAAATTATTGTAATAATTTAATATATATGTTAAAACAATCTAGTTTTTCCATAAGACATAATTCATAAATTCCATAAAATAGTGAGATGTTTTAAAGTTCTTATTTCATATTCATTCATTGACAGTAGGGCTTTAATTACCATAGAGTTTGTTTCTGTAAAGCTATTTTCTACTTCCCAACATGATTGTCTAATGCAAATATCTCATGAAAGCATATACATTTCACATGCACAATTAGACCTAATGTTGAGCGTAGATAATCCATTTCAGCATAATAACTATGCTTAAAACATTGCCAAAGTTTTGTTTAACTTAGTTTTGTTTTTGTGGTTTGATTATGGAGCCATGATTGTTCTGGTCTGAAATTATAAGTGTGAGTCAGACCTCATGACACTGCTAACCGAGACCGTTTCTGTACATCACAGGATCATGAACACATTTTTTCCTTTATAAATAATATCGGGAACCTCCCTACAAGGCAAGACACTGAGCTAACAGAATTTCAGAATACTTTTCTATTTTGAGGGGAGAACATGAAAATAAACAAGTTACTAACCTTGGGGCACAGAAATCAGGTTTTAAGTATTGTAGCAGTGTGCTACATTTGAGAAACAGGTAGGAAAACTTTACTACTGTAAGTTTGTGCTTGATTTCAAACCAGAGAGTTGCTGTTTCATAGAAGAGCTCCTTCCTATTTTGTTTTCCAGCTGGATATCTGACAGGCCATTTTAGAGATGTGTATATGTTTTTTCTTGATATAACATAGTATTGCCCGGCAGAGAATACGTAAGACCTACTAGCTATACTTTTGATTATTTGCCATCAGGAAAGTCACATCCCATCCCTTCCATTTTTTTTCACTGTAAAAGCATAAGTAATTTTCACATGTGCTACTGGATTAAGTACGGCTTTTGTTTTTTTGCTTTCTTTCTCTGAAAATTTAGTTTAGACATGTGTTAAAAGTAACATGTATTAAGTACATAGATTCATATATTTTATAGTAGGGTCAACATAGCCTTTATGTCATGAAAACCTGTTAGTAGATTACAAAATTGCCAAGACTGGAAATGGGGAACCAAGGGTAACAAATTTGGAGGGGTACTGTCATGTACGCTTTCCCAAATACTTATAAGAAGAAGATATGAGTGTAAAAACTAAAATCATTGTTCCTAGAAATCTCAACTATATCTTTTTTGAACTTTGCTTGGAAATACTACCTCTATATATCTTGGTTTAAACAACAATGATAGAAATGTAGGTATTGTTCTTTTTATGTATAATTTACATAAATCAGTTATCTTATTTACCCATTACAAAATTACACAA